CCTTGGGGGGCTTGGATTCATTAACGTGAGGGATTGGAATAGGGATGGGGATGGGCACGGGCACGGGGACGATCACGGGGTATGGCACGAGCAAGGTGGGGGGTGGCACCAGCGGGGCCAGCGACGGCAGCCCGAAATTTATTATCTGCGGCACGGGCATCGGGCCGTTTGGCATCATGCTCACCGGCGGGAAGGGGAGACTGGGCAAGGGCGCGCCTGGGGGCGGCGGGGGCAGCAGGCCCGGGGGGTTCCCGGGCATGGTAGGGGTGCTCGGGGGGTGGATGTGGGGCGACAGCATGGGCCGATGCATGGGACTGGAAGTGGGGCCCAGGTTCCTGGGGCCGCCGGGCGGGGGCCCGATGCCGGGGAGCATGGGGTTGGACAGAGGGCTGTTGGGGTTGGAGGCGTGGTGCGGCGGCCCGCGAATGAAGGGCGGGCGGATCTGCTGCATGATCTGCTGTTCCATGAAGATGGGCAGCGGCACCGGGCCGCGGTTGGTCATCACCATGGGAGGGCTGCGGGGCGGGACGCCCAGGGGAGGCCCGATGCTAGCAGGTGGCTGGACGGAGACAGGAGGGAGGTTGGCAGTCTCGCTGATGGGCATGGACTTGGGCACTGGCGTGGGGATCTTAGTGACGGAGCAGTTGGCAGCGTCAGATGGAGAGACGGTGGTGGACGCGGATGGGCCAGGGCCCTGGCTTTGGCCAGCTGCAGCCACCGGGGAGGGGGCCTTCCTCCGAGCATCTGTTAGAGGAATATTCCAAGAGTCTGGCGTGAGCAGCTGCACGCCGGCGCCTTCTGCTTTATTTTCCAGGGGAGGGTGTAATGCGCTGCACAGCCCAGCTGGAAGGTTGGCCTGTGTCTCTTTGTAGAAAATGTCCATTTTGTACTGATTGAGACATTTTGCACTGCAGAACTGAAGCCTTCTCTCCCCGTCCCCAAAATCCAGATATTCTTTTGTGTGTCTGATGTGCTTACACCAGTCACATACCTACAACACAGTAATAAAAAGAGAGAGTAAGATACGCAATGCCCGTTGCTAGACGGCGTTTCATGTTTCCCGTACAGGTTCTTTCAAACGTTATCCCAATTTTTCAAACAGGCTGAAAGGGTTTCCTTCCAAAAGGGAAAATTCTCAAAAAGTTTGTAAAGTGATTTCTCCCTGGAAGCCAGAATTGCTTTATTAATATTAACTCTTCAGAATAGCAATAAAAAAAAATTGTGTTTTTCCCTTTAAGGTGGGTCTGACAAAAAGGAATACATATACCTGCCCACACATTTTCACTTGTCAAAGACGCTCATTGTAAATGCAAATTTAATAGTTTTGGAGAGAAGGATTCTCCAGAACGTTCCGTGGGCTTTGAAATATATAGCCCCTTAACATTCTGCTCATGCAAAGTCACTTTGCACTATTGACTGTGTTCGATAATGCAGTTGGAAAGGGTGCGCTGTGTTAACCAATAACACAAAGCGCCCAGCATCATTATGTCTGCCTTCCAAGGGGAAACTTGGAATTAGCCATGAAGTCTGTGTGAGGTTTAGCTCTTCCCAACCTGTGATGTTGCAGCAAGCTAGAATTATTTTTTGAGCTGTTTGCCCACTCTCTCTCAGTAGTCAGAATTTTTGGTGACATTTCTTGGCATGCAATCTTATTTAACAACTTTTCAAACACCAGAGAACGTTTTCCAAAGTTGTTATGGCTTTTTCCCCTCTTCAAATCTACTCCTGGCAAAAGAAAGGCATCACCAAATTTATTTTAAAGTTGGGCTGCAGAACTAATTAAAGGCTGAGAGCTTTTCCCAATTGGAAATCACTAGACATCAAAGTTCAAAAAATAGTCATTCTCGGCTTCAGAACCCATTACTTTGGAGAAATTATTGTGATTTCATTAACACATTAATTTTGCAACACCATCAGCTCTCACAGATGGTGAAGGCATGATCTACAATTCAAATATGACTCTTGTTTGCACAAATGTCTTCCCTTCATATGGCATTTTAAACAAGAATTAATATGAGTAATCTTGCCATAGCTATAAACAGATAAACAGATGTCAAAATTTTCAATAGTTCTTTCAGTGCCTTACTTTTTTGACTGAACATTACACACACAATTTTTTTTTTCTTTTTCTTGTTCTTTATTTTTTAAATTATTTTCTGAGCACCCAATCAATCCACACAACAGCAGCAGAATTCTGAAATGCAGTCCAATGGTGAGCCCATTGAATTGAGTCTCTCCTCACTAAAGCCCTGGTTCCAATTTTGTTCTAAATCGGACCCTGCTTTTGTTGAGGAAGATCTGTTGTTCCCTTGTTGTTGTTGTTTTAACTATGATAAATTAATAGCATTAAAAGATAATAAATTTCAATAATGATTGGTCACATCAGCAATGTAAAAACAACATATGCTGCGCATTTGATTACTCATCTCATTTAACTCTCAGCTTTCCTTGACTGTAAACAGTGGCGGCGTGCTAGTGTGTGATTGTGGGTGTCACACTCACGGCGGATGTGGGCATGTGAGTGGAAATTCACTCTTTTTCTTCTTACTCCCCCCCCCCCCCACCACCACCACTGATATTTGCAGGTAATATACTTCACGGTATGAGGTTGAATAAGAAATACTTATTGGCACACAATAGTTTTTTTGTTTGGCCTCATATCAAGTCACTCTTTCAAAATACTTGTTGCCCAAAACAAATGATTTCAATGTTAATATACTCCCGTGTTTCACTACAGTGTTTCAGTTTTCTCCAGAATTAAGGGAACTTTTTAAAAAATCATAGTTGAGATGTCTAGTTTACACATAAATACAGAATTGCCTCTGATGAGAAGATGCACAGAATCCGGCAGACTCTCAAAATTATCATCTAGGAGAAGATTAAATAAGCTATAGTGAAAACTTTACCCATGTAAGTTATTATTTTTAAGATCTGATATTTTTATAAAGTTAATGTATAATTATATGACATTTAAATTCCAATTTGAAATAAAGCCAATTTTAGGCATCCATCAAAAGCCTAAAATACCAATTTATAAGCTTGAAGTGAAGGATCAAATATGACTTCTTTAATCATGACTAAAAAATATCATCAATGAATTAAACTAATTAAAATGATATGCCAAAATTTCTGGCATATTTCTTTTGGATCTTCTTTTTTAACCATAAGGGGAAAGAGTTTTCTGAAATCCTTAATTGGTTCTTAAATTGCCAGATTGGATTATTTGCCTGCAGAGGATTCCTCTGTTTCCTCAAGCTAAATAAATATTTTCAAGTGGAGTCACAGAAAATAATCTAAATATAACTTAAATGTTCTCCCATCATTTCCTTTACTTTCAATAATTCATTGATGAGTAAAAAAATGCTCATACATCTACCCCAATTCTCAAATAGGTAGTCTCCACTATAACAAGATTTACAGACATCAAATTTCCAAGCAAAATTCTGTTTCATCAAACTTTCCAGTTAATGAAAAGGTCTAATACTTAGCTGCTTGATTTTCTGCGACATCACAAAGTATTTAGGTCATAGTGTGACATTTTATGACTATCTTGTTTTGGGTAATGTGTGAATGTGTGCGTATCCTTATTACATTTCCATTCAGAACACTGATCTAAAAATGCAGAAAAGCCATCTTTCTGAGGAAGCAAAAAATTATTAGAGAAAAAACTTGTCACTTAAGAAATAATGAATCAAGTCTGTCTAACAGGACACATCATTTAAGATGAGGTCAATGAATTTATGGCACAAATGGCTATATCATGTGAGGCAATAAAACGCAGTACCATCATTCATTCGACATCTAACTAATGGCACACTTCTAGTAATTAAAGATTTCATCATAAGAGCCTGAGCTGATTACTTAAGATGTGGTAGTTAGGTGGAAATAGATACTGTAGATCTCTTTCTTTAATAAAACAACATTTGCATATCCATGGAATACACAGCATGTGTCTCAAGAACTAGGGTTGTCTGAATTGTGGTGTTATGAGGTATCCTTCCCTCTTTTTCCACAGACGGCTTTTTTTTTTTAAACGTTGTAAGGCATTTTTTCCTCATTATGTCAAGAAGTACCAAAAATCTTTCAGATATTTTAAGAGATAAAGATTAAGAAGTGCAGAGCTCTACTCCCTGGGCTCTGGGATGGTTTCCGCTAATTCCACGCCGGCTTTGTTTCTGTTGGAATCTGGCCGCTTTGGTTCCACGCTCTCCCTAACAGGTCCCAGATTGGACAGAGCTGAGGCTGAAGCTGTTTAATGATGGCAATCTGGGGACCGAACAATCAGCTCACGCAAGGCCGCTGAGCGAGACAGCTGAAATGCTTCGGATCACAGATACATAATGTATCACCAGGACGACAAAAAGATCACAAAGGAGATAAACAAATGGGTATTCCATTCAACCCCATAACAGCAGTCCTCACAAAGATTACATTCACCTTCCTGGGATGTGTCCAATTCTAAACAACAGAATGAACATTTCCTTTAGTCCATTTAGACTATTTATATTTTGGTGGCTGGCTGCCAGGGTAGTACTTATAAGCTCAGTGGCCTGATGGATTCACTCCTTTCCTGTGAAATAAATGTGCGGCAACCTACACCACTAAACTGCTCCAAAGACACCGCCTCAGCAGAAATATCACTTGCTCTCGATACAAGAAAACTGAAAGGCAGGACTTCTGGTTCCTATAACTCTTTCCATCTTGTATTTCCCCTGGAAAGAAAGAAAGCTATTCATGTTATTTTTATATACACGTCCAAAGTCAAAGCCAAAGTATGCCATAAGGTTACCCGAATGGGCACAACATATACATTCTGCTGGGCTTGAGAGAAGATTTGGGTGCCTGGGGGAGGGGGCCAGGGTTCCTAATTAACACATTAATCAGCTGTCAGCTGTGAGAGTGAAGTTCATTCTTTAATGGAACCCAGCACTGTCTTCTGAGTGGTAATCTGGCATCAGGCACTATTTCATTAAGAAACCCTTTTGCTGAAATCTTCCTTATCTAGGCAAAGACATTTTCAGCAATGGAACAGTAAAAAGACATTAAAATCCTTTGAATGCCATCAACAATTCCAAAAAACAAAACAACACCTTCACATGCTCCTGACTTCCCACAAATATAGGGCTTGGGTAACAGCTCAGAAGATGTAGCTCCTAAGCAAAACTGTAACTTGCAATAAGATTCTGGTTCCAGACAGTCCAACCTATGAGGAAAGGTCGGGGGTAAGGGGGTAAGAGATCAACCAAAAGACTTGTATGCATACATATGAGCATAACCAATGGACACAGACAGTAGGGAGGTGAGGGCATGTGTTGGGGGGTGGGGGAAGCTGGGGAGAGGTCAATGGGGGAAAAGGAGACTTATGTAATACTTTAAACAATAAAAAAAAATTTTTTTAAAGATGCTGGTTCCTTTGATCTTGGCCTGTTAAAGGTGGCATTGATCTTGCACTCCAGGCCAGCTCAAAGAATCACGAGTTCACCCAAGGGTGAAGCAAAGGAGGATGAAGAGACATGGGTGAGGGTGGTCAGTGCTTTAAAGGATTTGAGGTCTGCCCACAGCTGTCGTCACCTTACATGAGTTGAGGGCCTCAGACTGACCCCACCTGAACACTTGCTTCTAGTTTGACCCTGGAGTCCCATGGTCCCACCATCAACTGTTCCCTTGCATTTAGACACTACCTCCATCAGGGCACTTGGGTGGCAAAGGATGCTATGGAAATCACATGCAATCTGGAATCAGTGGGTTTGAGTCCGGACTCCATTATTCATTTACTAGCAGTGAAATCTTATGGAAAGCTCAGCGTCAGTTGCTTCCTCTGTGAATGGAGCTAGTAGTGGTAACAGGTACTGCTTGTGTGTCAGGCATTTACTATATATGTAGTGCGTTTTTTTCAGTCCTTAGCCTGTTTCCCTCATGGTTGCTGATGTCCCAGGAACATCCATATGTTTAAGTTCATTTTACCTTAATGGAAGGATGTCTCTATGGCAG